ATCTTCAATTTAATTCTGTGGGTTTGCCAGAAATTTAATGATATTAAATGTTAAAAGTTAGGCACGATATCAAATTAAAGCGCCTCTATAGCCCACATTCTCGACTTAAAGTTAGGCGCCATTTTCTATAATTTGAGATCACCTTAAACATGGGTAAAAACATCTCATATATATGATTTACTAAGAGTTTCGAAACTCCAATTTAAAAGTTCTTGCTATTGCCAAATAGTAGAAGCTTCCGACAGGTCATTGCTGAAGCTTTTGTCCACCAGAGAGTGGCTTCAAGATTTGCTAAAAGAAAGAGTCTGCCATTCGTTTAACAATTCGCTGTGGGTTGCCTCATGTGCCTTGATGGGTTTTTACCATGTCCCGAGGAAGCCTCCAGAGGAAAGTTACTTTTTGCCTATAAACCAAATTCAGGGATGACAGATAATCGCAGTATCAAAAAAGCTATAAGTAACCCTTCGACAGAGATTCAATGACTCATTTTATTTTCCTTTTTTAATGACTTGGCTTTTTCGTCCTGGTTGCTATTGTGGTTCTTCTATTTCCATTATCTTCAGATCCGAATCGAAAGCTCAGTGAAATGTCTAATGGCAAAAGGCAGGCAACTTTGAAATGATGATCCCAAAGAAGGCATTTTATTCCCGCCCTTCGATATGGTTACTTATGACAACTCGAAAGTTTGAAGCAGAGAGCACTATAGCTTAAATGAAGATCTAAGTCTATCCGGAATCTATTCAGTCACATTGGGCACATGCCTTCAGCATAGTCCGGCCTGATTTCAGCTCAGTTTGCACGCTTGCCATAGAAATTGTACTAAAGTCATCTTCTTCGAGTTGAAATGAAGATGTTATCCCGTAACTAATTTGCCTCTGAGCCAACATATATATGGCTTTAATCTTGTTGAGATCGAGGGTAAGATCGAGGCAAAGTCGAATGAAAATTTCCCTTTTGGATGCATCTTAAAGGGAGTTTCAATTCAAAATCAAGCCAACCCTTCAATTAATTGTAGAAATGAAAAACTTATTTGCCTGTAAAAACGGTCGAAATTTGTGCTCAAATTAGGATTGAGTTGACTTTCAACTCGAGTGAAAATATTATATAAAGGGACTCGTGGGTCAATCTCACACCAAGACAACGATGAAATATCTTTAGTCAGATGTACTTTGAGCTTATTGTGGCGTTCATGTTGACCAAGCCCTCGACAGCTACTGACCTCTTGTGAGCCTGTACCCTTTATAAAAATAAGCTCCAGTTCAGCTCATCGTAGTCGTCAAGCCTTGGGCCAGCATGAACGTATAAGGAAAATCAGATAGCCAACAAAAGTAATGTGCTGTTTTATTCTGATTGGATCGACCTACGAGTCTGTCCATGGTAATGAGATATAAAAACGGTACATTCAGGCCAGTTACTCTTAATTGATATATTTACACGAATTAAGGTCATTTTAGCTTAAGCTCCCGGAGAATGGGTTACTATGCGACCCTGATATCCTACAAAATGGATTGACATGTTTTATGGCCTCTTTGAAGTTTATAACCTATATTGATCACATTATACCACAGCCAACCTTACCGTGACTTCACCCTAAACCCTAAATTCACCTTAATTTTAGGTCTTCGTACGCATATTCCGACCCTGCCCTACGAGAAGCGACTCTCAAAAGTGGACACTCTGCGCCTAGCCATAGGGTACATCCACTTCCTACAAGACCTTATAGACAGTGCCTCCAGTCAACCGGACTCAGCCGAAAGCACGGAAACTGATCCCCATTTGGCGGACTTCGCTGTTGACCTGTCGCCAGGTTGCTCTCTTCTAGCGGAAATGGCCGGCTCCGAGAGTCCTCATCTTACAGGTGGGTGATAAAATGGATCTCGTCGATCTCCTCCTCAGCCCTGTTGTCCTGGATTCGCAATATTTATTCATTCCCATAATGAGCCATTAGAGTATCGCCTTAGTTGCTAGGTTGTTCCGGTCTCAATAAATACCTTTAAATACATTCATCAACACATCGAAAATAGGTTACGTCGTCAACTATAATAGCAATTACATGTTTGCCTCATCGACAGTCCCATCATAGATGGGATTTACAAGATTCCTATCTTGCCTTGAAGGTTACATCTGCCCTGCCCTCAATGGATGTTTAGTGGAGTATTATCTTGTCTCGACGCAATGATGACGACCCAGCTTCGAATCCATTCAAAGGTGTTGCTGAGGCTTAGTTCATTGTTCTCAAGTGACCTATAATGGTTAAGTTGATATGCAAGAATTATCAATACTTTCGAAACATGTTTAGAATTAGGATATTTTTATCATTGATATGAAGTCCAAGATGATGTGGCCTTCTGTTTGGTCGCAGTCTCCTTTAGCTTTATAGTGTTGGCTCGACCTCGTTTTTGCAACTTGGTCGGAGCCATAGTATTAAAGACTTCCAGCATTGGACCATTGACTTGGTACATTCACAAACGTTTCGTCGGCAGCGTTAGTGAGAGACGCCATTTTCAGCACTGAGTTACAATTAATTAAAGTGATAGCCAACCGAAGATATTTTAAGTTGGTTCATCTACAGTCCCCTTTATGTATTCACTTTTGCGGAAAATCCATTTTTCTTCTATCCTCCTTACTTTAGAGAAAGGATGCCAAGCTGCATGCCAGTGCTACTTCATTCACAAGTCCAACCTCCATCGCTAGTGCTGCTTATCCTAGCGTCAAGGTGCAAGTACATGCGCCTGGGATGTAGGCAAGCTTATTTATCTTTCGACTACATTTCGTCACGAAGAAAGCGCATAGCCATACCCTTGAATATGAGATACAAGAAAAAAATCTCTTGATATTTACTTCAAATGAAAACTCATTCATACACTGTTACGTGTAAATGTATAAATATTACACATTTAAATGTATCCGAGCCTAAAGTATGAGCTTGATTTCTGTGAGCACATTTAATCTTCGGCTCAAAAAGCATCCATCACATGTAACTCTATAGGTCACTCTCGGATGATTAGGTTGTTGTAATATTCACAGACCACGGGAGAATTGACCTGTTCTGCAGACCCTATTGCTCCTGATGCCTGTTGTAGGCATCTCGACGACGTCCCTATTGTACTTAATATTCCTACTGTTAAAGCCTATAGGCCGGGGCCGACTCGATTCCATCAAAAATCTGTTCATTCAAAGTCCACTTGGGGCCATTCGAAGAAGGTGGATATTATACTTGTTTATGCATTAAGGCTCCCTTTTTTGCACAAAGTGGTCAAAGTTTGTTTTCACAACTTGTTTTTGTTGTCATGGCAACCTAGTTAGAGGCATCTTGTCCGAATTCCTCTGCTATAGTAGGTATAATTGCTCCCAGGGTTGAACTGTTAACTTGCTACATTCCCAGACATTTCGCCGGCATTGTCAGTTAGTCTTGCCAGTCTCAGCACCAAGATACAACTCGTCAAAGACTTGGTGCTGAGACTGGCAAGACTAACTGATGATGCCGGCAAAACATCTGCGAATGTACCAAGTCCACGGTCGGATGCTGAGAATTATGATAACTATATGGCAAAGAACTTCGGCCAGGGTGCGTCCAACTAAGTCGCCTTGACAACACGATAAAGTTGGAAAAACGATGTCAGGCCACATTTATATATCGAAAGGAGACTGTGACCAAAATAGAGGTCACAAAATCTTGGTCTTCATGCCTACGTTTAACTATTTCAAACTCATTTAAATCTAAAAGAGACACTTCAAGTCAATACTTTAACCAATTTTCTGCCCAAACGGTTATGCTATCACTCCCCTTTCTATCCTAGTCCATCTATCTACTTTCTAGCCTCTTATCTCACGCCAGCCCGATAACAATCTCTGACATGTTTATATTCCGTTCTTCAAGAGGTGTGTCATTGTTAGCGAGTTTTGTATGGCGTCACCACACCTGCTGTTTACCTTGCTCCTCCTCCTCCTCGATTTGCTGATCGAAATCGGGACTCCTATCTCAATCTCCCACACGGGCCCGTAGATCTTTTTCTAATGTTTCTAGTGCCAGTCCAAGTATACGCTCCACTTCAGGCGCTATTTCTCAAGCCTTCAGTAACACGAACAATGTCGCTTCACCTGTAGAGCACATGGGCTCTAAATCACATGCATGCAGATGTTAGGCATTGTCTTCACGGGTCATCTTGATTCAACCTGCGTATCCTGAGCAAACTGTGAACATCCATACCTGGTCTCAGGTTTCCTCTCGAGTGGATTTCTAGTCAATATGGGCATAATGCCGTATTTATGTGACGGTTATGAATATAAGTCTCGGTAGTCCTGTCACCACCAGGTCCCCAAAGTTGTAGTTGTTTCTTCAAATAGACTTCATTCACTGCGAATGTGTCGGCTTGCTTTTCGAAGCTTCCTTACCAGCTTCTTCCTTGAGTCAGGAGTCTCCTTTTGGCTTGTCTTGTCGTATTCTTAATTCCTCCAAATGTGGTTAGGCACTAGGCAAAGTTATCGCTAGTTTAATTAAAGATATGAGGACCAAAAGGGTGTGACCTTCGGTATGGTCGCAGTCTCTTTTCGATTTATAGAAGTGGGTTGACCTCATTGTCGCAACTTGGTATTCGAGCTATGTGCGTTCTATTAAGTCCCCCGGACAACAAGACCAAGTTGCGACAACGAGGTAAACCCACTTCTAAAGTTATCGCTAATTCAGTCTTATTTCAATCGCTTGTACATTAAATTTACGTAATCATGTCAATGGTCTACCTAATCTTCCGTTTCTTTTAATTTTTACCGTATGAGGCACTTCTTTTTGTTGCTTTACAATTGATCTCGTGTCCAGTCTGTGCAATATGTTTCATTATTTCTTATCTTTCTTCATTAATATTCTCGCAAAGCCTTTGATATTCCTTGATTCATATGCTGATCTTTCTCCCTGTTTCGCCAATACATTTCTGTGTGCAGACCCCGCATGCTATGCAGCAAACTCCCGATAAATGAAATTTGACCCTTTCTCATTTCCATGGGTAGTCTCGTGAAAAGTGTTGTTTCTTCATTCGTGGCCACCTGAATATTCCACTTTCTTGGTATCGGCCATGGTTTTCGGATTAGTTCGCATGAAGATTCACTTTTGTGAATCTTTCTCAATCCCTACTGTTCTTCCATAATCCCCATCCTGCCATCGGCTTTTCACGGCCAGTTTGTCTCGTATTTCCTTGTAATGAGATGTATTCACCCTATTTCGTCTAAGGTGATGAAGGACTAGTAGTAGAATTTCCCACAATTATATGAGTTGAGCTGACCTTTTCTTTGAATTTCACAAAGCCTTGCTTTCCCAAAAGTTGTTCTCATCCAGGGAGAAGTAGACTGCAGTTTCGACCTCGCATCGGTCTTATCAACACCCTCATCGGGAGTCGAACCGCGACAGTGAAAGATGGAAGCTTGACACGCTAACCACTCGGCTACACTGTCCTGTGACTCAAGGGTACTCGTGGCAGTGTAGTCGAGTGGTTAGCGTGTCAAGCTACCGTCCTGCAC